GAATTTTTGTATTTAGTAGAGACAGGGTTTCACCATGTCAGCTGGTCTCAAACTCCTGACTCATGATCCACCCACCTCAGGCCTCTCAAATTGCCTTGGATTACAGGCGTAGAGCCACCAATGCCCGGCCAAGATAGATAGATAGATAGATAGATAGCATAGAAAAGGGTTGAACCAAAGTTGAATCCAAGTTGCTCACTAAGACTACTCTCATCCAGTTATTTGCCTTATACTTCAATATCTCCAGAGTAACATTACTGTAGCAAGTCAATCTCCTACACGCAAAGGCTGCTAGTAGATAGTAAATGTACTGCTTTCCTATTCTCCAAGAAACTGCCTATAACTCTCAAAAAGTTTGAATGAAATGAAGATCAAAAATAGATATTCTGCAATATGGAGAGAAAGCTTGAGAACAGAGCAATGACTATTGGGTTAATCCAGTTCTAAGCTTCAAAATCCTAGTTCCAGGTGGCACCACCTGCAAGCTAAAGATGAGATTCTGAAGGAAGAAGTTTTTTTAAAAAACCTTTAGACTGAAAAGTCTATTCTCCATCCTTCCTTTCCGCCAATTTTACAGGAACCTAAATGAAGGAATGTTTTAGATTGAAATAATGCGTACAAAGTTCTGTGCTTTCAGAAGCCACTAGAAGGGACTGGAAGTGGAGAGAAGTGGTGCAGCAGAAATGCAATTTAATTCAGAAACATCTGGAAAGACTTAGAAAATGGAAACAGATGCAAGGAGGACATTGTTATGAAAAAAGGAATGAAGAATTGCTGTATTTCTACTTTAATGGTGATAATTTGATATTCTGTTTTCATCCATGCAAGAGACTTGAAACAAAATAAGCAACTACTTAAGAGAAAGTCAGTGGTTCTGATGAAAAATAAGGGTAAAGTTGCCTCTGTAAATCAAACTATTCTTCAATAGAATTATGCCTTGATCAAAAATTTTTTTAAAAATATGTCTAATAAGTGTTTTCATACTTGGCTTGGCCAAAGAAGGACATTTTATCATAAAGTATATTTTTAGTCACTTCCTAGGCATTAGTTTTCTTCTATTTTACCTCAACTCTTAATTTAAAATGATGTCGATAATTTGCATCTGTCACTGAAAGTCAAACATTTTCTTCCTGCAGAAAAGCAGGTGTTCTAAAGAATTCATAAGTACAAAAATAGTCATTAGTCAGATTGATAGAAAGACACCAAAATGACAGCTACCTTGTCTAAGTCCAGCAGCCCCAGTCTGCATTTTATTGATATTTTCTGATCAACATTCTCCTTCCATAACCTGTCTTCTGTGTGAGGAAACTGAAAGGCATAAAGTCCCTTTTCTTCTTTAACAGAAATCATCAATCAATGAAAACCAATAAATAGCTATGCCAAGATTCAAGTACACAGCATGCTAATCAAACATTCACATATAAAAGTTTTATTAATCCAGATTCTTTCAAAAGAGAAAAAAATTATGCATACTGGCAAAGATAGTGCGAAAGGCAGAAAAATTAAAATAGCTGATGCATCAGGGGTATCACACACTTACAGTGAATGTACACCAGTAATTCCAGCACTTTGGGAGGCCGAGGCTGGCACATCACCTGAGGTCAGGAGTTTTTGTTTTTGTTTTGTTTTTGTTTTTGTTTGAGATGGAGTCTCACTCTGTCGCCAGACCAGCCTGGCCAACATAGTGAAACCCCATATCTACTAAAAACACAAAAATTAGCTGGGCGTGGTGGTGAGCACCTGTGATCCCAGCTACATGGGAGGCTGAGGCACAAGACTTGAACCTGGGAAGTGGAGGATGCAGTGAGCCAAAATCATACCACTGCACTCCAGTCTGAGCAACAGAGAAAGACATTGTCTCAAAAAAAAAAAGAAAAAAAAGGAGAGCATCTGAGGTCACTATGGTGGGGCATGACAGTGTCCTAACTCAGCCTCAGGGATATGCTGTTGTGTATGATAATTTTAAAAAAATTTTAAAACCTATAGTAATTCAGACCTGAGCTACAAAAGAAGAAATCAAATTTGTTTCTCAAAAACTAAAAAATGGGTCCAGGTACCCATGGCTCACACCTGTAATCCCAACACTTTGGGAGGACTGCTTAAAGTCATGAGTTGGAAGCTGCAGTGAGCTAGGATCGTACCACTGCACTCTAGCCTAAGTGACAGAGCAAGACTCTGTCTCTATTTAGGGGAAGAAAAAAAAAAAAAAAAAGCACCAAATACTTCCACAACTCAGAAAATGAAATAATAACTATGTTCGATTCCAGGCCAGTTTTATTATTGGTCTTCAATCAAAAGGCAACATGTCATTGATAGAAAAGGGTAACTTTATAAAACAAAATAAACACTTTTTCCCTAAAGGAATTAAAGAAACTATCCTATCCTACTCAAATT